TGAACATCGCCGAGGGAGCGCCGTTCATACCCACTTTTTTGAGAGGATCTGAAAATGCGTGATGTGTAGCAATGCAGTCGGCTCCTCCCTCACCGAGTTTCAAGAGAATAAGCATTCTCCGGTGCTCCAAAAGGTCAGGGCGCTCATGGCTTTGGGAGCATTCAAAACAGTGCTTCAAAAAATCGCTAGCAGGTGACACTAGGACTAGGCCCTGGACAAGGAAGAAATGCCGGTATGAACAGATTGCTCACATCCTCTCCTATGAAGAAGTACTGTAAGTGGCTCACTCGCTTGAATGTCACCCCCACCCCACCCCACCCCCCCCCCCCCAACGACATAAGCGTCAGCGCTAGCTTGGTATGAACGCCGCCGTCGACTAAACATTAGCAGCCGTCGGTAAAGTTTATATAAGTTCCAAAAAAGATACGCTCCACTTAGAAAGGCATGTAGGCGCTCATATCTTTTGGGGGGGGGGTAGACTTTCGTAACAGGGCATTCGAAAATTGCTGATTGGTGAAGCTAGGACTAACATAAGCCGCGGAGAAAGGATAAACGCCAGGGAGAAAAAAAGTTTCCCACATCCTCCCTAGAATCCCTTCCCCTCCTTAGGTTCACTACCAAGTTCTCCCCCCCCCCACCCACGAAATGAGGGCCGGCATAGCAATATAAACCTACTTTTCAAACCGTTCTAAAAGTACTTATTGCCACCTCACCTTCTAAGAGTGCAACTAAAATGAGAGTCCCCACTTGACCAACATGCGAAGAAATGAAAAATGTGATATGTTACATTGTTCTGATGATATGTTATGTTATGTTCATTACATGGCAACTCATGAAAAATTTCTTAAATTGATAGAAAAAACCGAAACCTTAACAAGTCCGCGCTCGTACTCGCCTTCTAGGAAATCAGGCTACTGTGAAAAGATGTATGGTTGATTGGAATAATAAAGAAGAAGATAGGAAAATTAGGAGAAGCGGGAAAAATTTCTAGACACGTTTTGATTGATTTAACTAAAAATTTAAGATTTCTATTTTCTCTTCTCCGATACGCCCGTAGGTATCTGATCTGTCGCATCAAATAATCTTTTCGACTAAATCTCCTCATCTCTTAATTTACTCTCTGATCCAAAGAAGGCGCTATCGCAATTTACGGGGCATCTTCTATGACTAAGCCTAGGAGGGGGCGTACCCTAAAATCCCATAGATAAGAGCGGTCCATAGATATTTTTTCAAAAATAAAATAAAAATAAAAATATTTTTTCAAAATCATTTTTTACCGGTAAATTAAACCGCTCTTATCTATGGAATTTTACTGATCGAATGGGCTCTTCAAGTTCTATCCAGAGATCAAATTCCGGCATTTCTAGAGAGATTCCGGCAGAAATTCCGTTAAAATCGCTATTTTTCTATATGAATTGTTTATTAAGTGGGCGGGGTTTAGAGTTGAGGGACGGAGCTTCTTCTAAACTTCTTCTCCGATTTTTATTTATCCATCCATCAAGTTAGAGGGGTGTGACTGCATTCAATTTCAATTTCATTCCAATTCATTTTTCACCGGTAAATTAAACCGCTCTTATCTATGGGATTTTAGGGTAATTTCGTAACTCCCAAACACCCTTGTCGCGCCCTCTAGAGCGCTCTTCTTTCTTCTACATAAGGCCTAGTTCCGTTTCCAACAAAAAGGACATGTTTTACGCGATTTCAAATGCACTGCCATCTTAATGTCCCCTTATCTTACGATAGCGTCCCAAAGAAAAGACTATCAACTTGGCCTAAAGGGGTGTTTGGGTGTAGATAGTTACGCTTCTAAAAAGCGACTACTATCCAATCGACGAATTCACGCAGGCTGTTTTAGAAACACGATGTTTTCAGCTTCGTGAAGGAATCAAAAGGCGACAATGAGTAAGAATTTAGACAGAGACAACAAGTTGCGCATAGGTTAGGTTTTAGTGGGCATTCGTGGCTAGCGAGGTGGAATTATACTATTACGGTAAATCATTTTCTTGCTACCTAACAATATCATGCTAATGCCTAACAATACCCTTTTAACAAAGAAAAACAGCTAAACTCGGTCAGTAATCGCCTCCATCTTCACCTTTCTCGACAAAAAAAACAACTGATAGACCAGTAAACGCCCAAAGCTCTTTCCAAGGCAACATATTTTGTGAATATGAAATATTTTGAGAAATTCAGGACTTAATATTCGCGAGTAATTTCCTACCTCAAATTTGAAAGTGTCAAAAATGACAACTCTCTACAGAAAAAAATTAAAAATGAAAAAAAAACTAATAAGGTTACCAATACATAATGTCAGGGTAAGGAACGGTAGCGCAGCAGCAGGTTAGGTGATTCATATGCTCTATAACAATAGCTGACCTTACAGAATTCACTAAGGAGAACTACTTCATGCGCGGCAGAGCACCCTAACAAGGGAGGTCTTTCAGGACATGGAGCGCTTTTTCGAAATGGTTTCTGCATGTTGTAGGGGCTCATGCGAGGAACACAGAACCATGATCCATTTTTCCTGAACGCCTCCAGGAATGTCAAAACAGTGGTGAAGAAATGGTCCAGAGTTCGATCCCCGGTGATGACTAATTTTTGCAATATAGTTTGGCGCCCCCAGATTGCCGCCAAATGGCGCCATCGTCGAGAATAGATGTCATTGTCGTGTTTTGCGGCAATTTGGAGGCGCCAACATAAATTGCAAAAATTTGTCATCACGGAGGATCGAACTTTGGACCATTTCTTCCCCCTGTTTTGACATTCCTGGGGCGTTCAGGAAAAATGGACCATGGTTCTGTGTTCCTCACATGAGCCTCTACAAATTCAGGAACCATTTTGAAAAACGCTCCATGTCCTGAAAGACCCTCCTTGTAAGCTCGCCGCCATAATGGCTCAGCTTTTGCAGTTCTTTTGGAAATTTTGAGCCTTTTGCAACAAACATTTCGGAGACACACATTATTTAATAGTAAATATTTTGTAATGAATCAGATGTGATCTTATAACACTAACAAAAAACCCTCTTCAATAGGTGCTACAGTAAGTGGATGGGTCTGCCAATTTCGAAGTAGAAGGAACTATGGGAAAACTATGTATTTTTCTGACCCACCTCCGAGCTCCTCCTTCTTAGTCTCAGCAGAAAGAAAAACTCCAGTGCGGGTAGGAAAAATTATTTTCCTCAAAGTTCCTTCTACTTGAATATCGGCTTTATGTTTTCGAAAATCGAGTTCTGCAGTGAACATTT